AAGATTTACCAGCCATATCCTGGGTCGTGAATACCCTGAACTTGGATGGTTTTGCTGGTTTTGGACCACTGCTTCCCCACTTCACACCAGTGTTTCCTAGCTGGTTCTCTCTCTACTCAAACCTCCTGTCCAGGGAATGGCTCTGCTGCACATCTCCTGCCAAGGGAACCCCACGTGACTAGTCTCAGAGAAGTGTTAGAAGCTGTGACCTCTGGGTCATCCTAGGAGCTTTCCCTCACACCCCCAGACTAGAGTGGGGACCTATTATATATGGACATTCTTGTATCTTTGATAGAATAATTCTCTACCAGAGATGAGACTGTATACAATAATAATATCCAGAAAAAGAAGATGGGTTAAGTAAACAATGCTGAACCTATTCAAAGGCCTAGTATGTGACTTAGGTTAGGAAAGTTATTACCAACAGTGAAATTCTTATCATTTGTTAAGCACCAAAAAAAGTGATAAATTATAGCAATATGATGAGTACAACTATGGGAAATACACAGGCAAAAGACCTGAGGGTCACTTGGGTCCTGGGGCAGGGCTGGGAGGTGCCACCCACATAGAGGTTCTGGAGAAAGAATCATTGTAAGAAGCTGCATGGCCAAGAACAAGTTATTTGGGGCCTTAGTTTATTCTCTAAAATGAGGCTATTTAATAGTATCAATCTCATGTGACTGTTATTGGAGAAATAAAAATAGAACATGAAAAGCATCTACAACAGCACCTAGTACTCACATAGTAATAATTCAAATGTTATTATAGCCAATGGAATCACTAGAGTCTTTTATTTTTTCTTATGTTTGTAATTACAGGTATATACGTACATGTGAAGGTTCAAGTCCCAGCTTCATCAACTCACTACCTATGCAACCTAGGCAAGTTATTTAACCTCTCTATACTTCAGCTTGCTCATCTGTAAAATGGAAATAATAGTGCCATTCTGAGTCACGGTTCCCTCCTGCCAGTGACCACCCCAAGCATAGCTATTGACATAAAGTTACAAACTCCCATTCAGCATAACACTGAGAAGGAGACTTGTCTGAGGTTTTATTTCTACAGAATTTAGGTACCTTGTGAAATAAACTATTCTAAAACACTAGAAACAATAAGTATAAAAGTAATTTATCACTGGGTAATCAGCTAGCTGCCTTACATCTAAATTTGAGGTTATTTTAGAATCTACTTTTGAAAAAGTTTGTATAAAGTACATGTCTCTTTACTAAGTCTGTCCTGACTAAAATCAACTTGGGCAAGAACCTACCACAGTTCTAGGGACATTCGAAGTGTCAATTAATCCATGCTGGTTAAATAGCTATGAATGAAATTTATACTTTAGCACAGAGCTGATAATAAATGAGCTTTAGTTATAGCATCTACTTTCTCCTAACATCTGCCTTGCCCAGAAAAAAACTTAAACCACTTCAGATTTTTTCAGTGAATGTGGAAATCACAAACACCAAGATTTGACACTTTTATTTCCCAATAATTGCTACTTATGGGGTCACATTAATCAATTCTAATTCCTCTTCTCATAACAGAACACTTTCTGCTGTAGACTCTGGAAGAGAAATTGCAAACAAACAGAAAACAAACCTTCTTGAGCATATTTAAGGAGTCAAGAGTTTTCTCCAACTATAAACTGAAAGTCCTATTTTTGCCTTCTGTATCGTAAGCATGTTGACATTTTTCTCACTTTTGTACCAGAATATGTCTTCACATTTCAAACTGGATTACTCTTCAAATATTCGATTATGTTCAAATAGTAAGAACGAGAACAGTGCATTCCATTGAATATTTTTGCATTTGCTTATTGCAATACTAGCTAAAACACCAATTTATAATTTTTTTAATACATTCAATAGTTCAACAAATGCATGATTCTTTTCATCTGACTGAAGTTGTAAGTCAACACTTTACTGGAGAAAAGATATAAAATTGTAGCACTAATTTCTGAAATGAAGAACTGAAATTCCTCTTTCTAGCTTCTTCTTTCAGTCCACCACTATTCCACGTGTTCCTGCTCTTGTCCTGGAATGAGCCACCGAATGCTCTCAGTTCGAATGGTAGCATACATAACAAAACTAACTAAAAAGAATAAGGAAAATACAAGCAACCAGTCCACACTTTTCACCAGAGTGCTAGGAAGAGGGCCTATTTGGTCAGCTAGAGTTACCACCACATTTTTCTTGGCTTCTATACCTGAAAGAAAAAACAACTGTTTCAAATCAGATGTTTTTAAAACACACCCACCAAAGATTTTTTTGAAGTATTATGCATGGTATGCAAAATGACATGCAGTCCTAAAATAAACACCATCCCTAGTATATATGGGATGGATTTCACTTGCCTGTCAGTGTAATTTGTAACTTGCCTTTCTGTCCACCACATCAAAGGATCAAGAATCCATTCAGTCAGTTGTTCAAAGCCAAAACGCTAGAATTTCTGTGAACTCATCAGAGGTTTCTTAGTCAATGCATTGTAAGAGTTGCCTTTTGTTCTCTTTTGAGACCATAGTTCAATAAGTAATTAGTAAAGCTAGTCTCAGGAGTCTACAGGATGTTTTCACAAGTTAAATAATACTAAATTAAAGTGCTTTTAAATAATTTACTGAAATAATTATTAGAATAGCCAGTCACGGTGGCTTATGCCTGTAATCCCAGCACTTTGGGAGGACAAGGTGGGAATCTGCTTAAGCCCAGGAGTTTGAAACCATCCTGGACAACACAGCAAGAACCCGCCTCTACAAAACAATTAGCCAGTTGTGATGGTGCGTGCCTGTAGTCCCAGCTACCGGAAGGCTGAGACTGAAGGATGGCCTGAGTCCGGGAGGTCAAGTCTGTGGTGAGGCATGATCGTGCCACTGCACTCCAGCCTGGGCAACAGAGACCCTGAATCAAACAACAATAACAACAAAAGAACAACTAGCCATCACTAGGATCAGTGATTAAGTGACGCTTTGCCTCCTAGATTTTCTTGTTCTAGTTTTGGTTAGAGCATTGAACAACATGGCTCCCTCCGCCCATATCAATCTAAATGACAATCAGGGATCTGGAACAAGACTTGGAACAGCTAAGCATCTAGTGATATCCCACTTTTACTCCTATGAACTAACTCAGCTCTTTATTCTTTAGTGTTAGATAAAAGTGGTTTCTTGCAACTTAATATATATGGAATGTGTGTTATAGCTTGTATTTATTTCCAATGAGTAGACAGTGGGAAGAGTGGGATGTGCACCACTGAGGCAGAAAAGCTTTTGAGGAATGAGCTTTTCCAGTGGAGGACATTTCTTCAATTTACGTGCTTAAACTTTTAGAGTAAAAAATAAGGGCACAAATTTTGGCAAATACTGAGGAATTAAAATAGCATCTACAAATAGGTTAATAAATGGAACACTATACAGCAACAAAAATGAACAAAACATAACCATATACAACAATGTAGATGCATCTCACAAGTATAATGTTGAACGAAAAAAGCCAGACACAGAAGAACACAACCTGTATGTCTCCACTAATAGAAAGTTCAAAACAGCATCAGTCTGTGAAATTCAGAGCCAAGGCTGTGGTTATCTTTGGGGAGGGCGGGAGTGGCATTACTAGCTGATGGGGCCTAGGAAGTTCTGTTTCTTGATCGGAGTACTGGTTGCCCAGGGTGTTTACTTTGTGAAAATTCATCACCCTGTACACTAATGATACATGCACATTTTTATGTGAATATTAGACTTCAGTGGAAAATTATGTAAAAAGTTATCTGTAAGTAAGTGAAATGTATGGTATGTGAATTATATTTCAATAAACCTTATTTTAAATGTATCTACATTAAAATTATCTATTCATGTTAAGCCTGACAATGATTAGCAAATATATATATATATATAGGGGACCCCCCCAAAAAACAGTTTATTTATAAAAACTTGTATATTTATTCTTACATGTTTAAGCTTCAGTAACCTTCAAAGTACTCTCTGTTTGATGCTATACATCTATCAAGATGCTTTTCCCACTGCTCAAAACAGTTTTTGAGCTCATCAATTTTGATGTATTTTAGTGCTTCTTCCCTTTTTTGCTTCACCTCTTGCACATCAGCAAAACGTTTCCCTTTGAGGAATTTTTTCATCAAGGAAAACAAAAAAAGTCACTTGGGGCAAAATCAAGTGAACAGGGAGGGTGGGGCACAGGGATCATGACATTTTTGGTCAAAAACTGCTGAACACTTAGCACAGTGTGGGCAGGTGCATTGTTATGGTGGAAGAACCAGTTACCTGTTTGCCACAACTTGGGAGGTTTCTTCTACAAATTGTGATGCAACCTTCTCAAAGCTTCCAGATAAAAGCTTTGGTTGATCATTTGAGCTGAAGGAACAAATTCCCAGTGTACTATAAGGGGCCCGCCCTCCCAAAGATAATTCCGTGTTTTTGAGGGTCCCCTCGTTGTTGGTTTTTGTTTTATTTTGTTTTGTTTTAAGAGACACGGTCTGATTGGAAGATATTTAGCAGGATCATAGCAGTTCATCAAAAAAGTAGTTTTGTTTTTGGGGGGATATTTTTTGTGAGGCGGGGTCTCACTTTGTTGCCCAGGCTGGAGTGCAGGGGCATGATCGCAGCTCACTACAGCCTCGAACTCCTGGGCAAGTGATCCTCCCATCTCAACTGCCAGAGTAGCTGGGACTACAGCCACATGCCACCATATCCAGCTAATTTTTTTATTTTTTGTAGAGATGAGGTCTCATTATGTTACCCAGGCTGGTCTGGAATCCTGGACTCAAGTGATCTTCCCACATTGGCCTCTCAAAGTGCTGTGATTACAGGTATGAGCCACCATGCCCAGCCAATAAAAGAAGTTTTACAACTCAAAGTCAATCTTGAATCCTTCACTTAGGATAAGGATATCAGTCAGAATCTACAGAAGGCATACACCCCCAGCAATAAAATATCTTCTTCTTCAGCATATTCTTTCTACATACCTGTCTGATTAAAAATGAAGATTTTCAGTGTTTCCAGTGTTCGATCTGTATGATTAAATCTAGCCATTGGTTTAGCTCCTTGAAATAGCAAAATGTTAGGAACAGCTACAGTGCCAAACCTGGTAGAAAGGCTGCAAGAAAAAGAAGTCAGAAAACCTGAATTTATTATTAACAGTCAGCTTTCTCAGACAACTCCCATTTCAGACCAGATGGAAATAAACAAGGATGTTCCATGTGACCTATGATACTCAAACTTTAGACTTTTTAGTTTGTTTCTGACCTCTTTACTTGTGGGTCATGGTTGGGGCATTCCTGTTATACAATCTGAGTTGCTTTCTATTACAATATGGATCTACCCTTGACACAAGTATCCCACTTTTAAACTCCTGTCAAAACAGATCAGACCAGAAAATTCTAATTCATGGACAAAGCACACTGTCAATTTACTTGACAAGAAATTTCCAACTCTTCAGAATGTCCATCCCATTCCTCAAAAAAGATCAACTTATGGTAAGCAATAGTGTGGTAAGCTGGCACAAGAGAATATATGATCTAACAAACAAACCAGGAAGTTCAAACCAGGACAACCTGAAAGTAACATGACACGTGGGGGCTTGTTTCACCTCTACAGAATACAGACTAGAGGTGAAATGCTCCCAAGTCAAGACATTCTGGGTTCAAGCCTCAGTACTGCCACTGAACCAGCTCTGTGAACTTTGTTTTTTGTTTTGTTTTGTTTTGTTTTTTGAGGCAGGGTCTCACTCTGTCACCCAGGCTGGAGAGCAGGGGCAAGATCAGAGTTCACTGCAGCCTTTACCTCCTAGGCTCAGGTGATTCTTCCACCTCAGCCTCTGGAGTAGTTGGGACTACAGGCATGTGCCACCACACTCGGCTAATTTTTCTTATTTTCTGTAGAGAGAGGTCTTGCTATGTTGCTCAGGCTGGCCTCGAACCCCTGGGCGCAGGCAGTCCTCTCACCTCTGCCTTCCAAAGTGCTGCAATTACAGGTATGAGCCACCACACCCAGCCTCTGTATCTTATTTTACTGAACATTTAAAAAAGACAAGCTAAGCATGGTAGTAGTACACACCTATAGTCCCAGCTACTCAGGAGGCTGAGGTAGGAGGACCACCTGAGCCCAGGAGTTCAAGGCCAGCCTGGACAAAAACCCAGCAAACAATATAAAAGAAATATAAACAAGGGTAAATGTCATCTTAAAGAGCTAAATTAATTCATTACTTAATGAGGGTCTGCTGTGGAACGTGCACAGAAGGGAAGGGAAAGGAAAGGAAGAAAAAGAAAACGAAAGAAGGAAAGAAAGAACACCTGAACAAAGAAGAGAGATGCTGGGAATTAGGCTGACAGAAATGGGGACTTCAATTGCAGGTTAAAGTCACAAAGGAATATCCTACTAAGATACCAACTGCTAATGCAGTATGGTCAGATTCCCGGAAAGTGCTCTGGCCCCTCCCCTGCCATCAGGTGCCATCACCTGCCACCTTTAAATTCATCACACACAGAGCAGGCCTCTTTCAAGGGCTTTCAGCATGCGATGCCACCAGTTCCCTCAGAAGTATGACAATCCCCACTACTCACTCTTGCTTTTCCCTTCCTGCAATCTCATTTCAAAGCTCATGCCCACCTCCCTCTGCTTCTAGCTTATCTCATTACGGCCTCCAAATAATAACTGCACTCTTCAAACAAGAGAAAGAGACATAAACCCCACAAGGGAAGATACCTGCTGTGCTGAGATGCATCCAGAGCCAGAAAATGAAGAGTTGGAAATGCCCGTGGCAGAGAATTAAAGTGAGGGGCCAAACTGGCAGAGAATCGGCACCACGGGGTATAAAACAGGACTAGAGTACAGTCACTACCATTTGGATTTAGAAAATCCATAAGGTCCTGTGGTAAAAGAAACAAGTGTTAAAGTCAGCAGAAAACACGCATGTATATTTTTCTAAAAGGAACAGGAATCACTGCTGTCTCCAGAGAGGGAACTGGCAGGTGGGAGCAAGAAGAACAGGGGAACTGTGCTGACACCTTCAAGAAACTTTTAGGGCCAGGTGCAGTGGCTCATGCCTGTAATCCCAGGCTGAAGGGAGAGGATTGCCCGAGCCTACGGGTTTGAGGCCAGCCTGGGCAGCATAGCAAGACTCTATCTCCACAAAAGATCAAAAAATTAGCCGGGCATGGTGGCACGTGCCTGTGGTTCCAGCTACTTGGAAGGCTGAGGCGGAAGGATTGCCTGAGCTCAGCAGGTTGAGGCTGCAGTGGCTGGGAGCAGGCCACTGCACTCCAGCCTAGGCAACAGAAAGAGACTCCAACTCAAAGAAAAAAAAAACAAAGAAAGAAAAACGGCCGGGCTCAGTGGCTCAGCTTGTAATCCCACGCTTTGGGATGCCAAGGTGAGTGGATTGCCTGAGCCAGTAGGTTCAAGACCTGCCTGGGCAACTTGGCGAGACCTCAACTCTACAATAAATCAAAAAATTAGCCAGGCGTGATAGCACGCGCCTGTAGTTCCAGCTACTTGGAAGACTGAGGCGGAAGGATCGCCAGAGCCCAGCAGGTCGAGGCTGCCATGGCCAGGAGTGTACCACTGCACTCTAGTCTGGGCAACAGAGTGAGACTCCAACTCAAAAAAAAAAAAAAGAAAAGAAAAGAAAACTAGCTGGGCACAGTGGCACATGCCTGGAACCTCAGCTACTCAGGAGGTTGAGGTGGGAGGATCACGTTAACTCAGGAGTTTTAGGCTGCAGTGAGCTATGACTGCACCACTGTACTCCAACTGGACAACAGAATGAAAACTTGTCTCAAGAAAAAAAAAAAGGCTGGGCGTGGTGGCTTATGCTTATAATCTCAGCACTTTGGGAGGCTAAGGTGAGAGGATTGCCTGAGCCCATAGGTTCGAGACCAGCCTGGCCAACTTGGCAAAACCTCACCTCTACAATAAAAATAAAAATAAAAATAATTAGCTGGGTGTGGCGGCACATGCCTGTGTTCCAGCTACTTGGAAGGCTGAAGCATCGCCTGAGCCCAGCAAGTCAAGGCTGCAGTGGCCATGAGCGTGCCATTACACTCCAGCCTGGGTGACACAGTGAGACTCCAGCTCAAAAAAAAGAAGAAAAAATCTTTTGAACTTTGAACCCCTATGAATCCACGAGTCAGCAGAAAAGTTCCATCAAATGGCAAGTTATAAACTTTTTTTTAGTCTTGCTGACATTATTTCCTAATATCTCTATATTTTCCTAATATTATTAGTTATTTTAACATTTCTCCTTCTACTGCTTTGTAATAGAATTTTTTATTATTTTACAAATAGAAGGTTTGGGACAGCCCTGTACTGAGTGAGAATCTATTGGTACCTTTTTCCATAGCCTGTGCTTACTTAGTACCTCTATGTCACATTTTGGTAATCCTCACAATATTTCCAACTTTTTCATTATTGTATCTGTTATGGTGAACTATGATAGTGATCTATTGAGACGGTCTAGAATTGAACCCACAATATCCCTGAGGTATGCCTACACTAAGTACTCACAGGGTACAGGCCATTATCCCTACCTTTGAAATGTATATTTTGAATGATCTCAGATGGAATTATTAGAGCACCGGGATTGCTATTGTGAGGCGTGATTGTGAGATTACCCAAGGACAACTAGATTTAAGCCAACTAACCAAAAGGCATAGTTGACACTAGTCAAATTTCCTCCTTTCCCTCTAAACATTATAGAGAGCAAGTCTATTTTCATTGAAACAGTCACTAAATGCTATTCCACTTGTAATATGCTAAAGATTATAACTACTTTTTAAAGCTGACAGAGTATTAAATCATAAAATTAATGTGCTGAAAAGGAGAAAAGTACCAAGTAATTTTTTGTTACCTGTGACATATTTAAAATCTTCAGAGTGAAATTTTCTAGTCCGGTCACATTTCTCTCCTCACAGTTCACCTTCGGGGATTTCAGGCTTTCAGTGCTGTTGGAGTCCTCGGCGGGGGCGGGCTCAGGCTCCGCCACTTCTGGCTCCGCGTAGTACTCCTCTTCTCGATCAGGGAAGCTCGCTCCAGCACTGTCCTGGGAGAAGAGGCTCTCCCGGACACCGCACCGGGAGCCCTCCTCTCCTCCAGCGCCACAGGTGCCACTGCTGGGCTCGGAGCTCAGCTTGTCCTCCGCTTCCCCGGGAATCACAGACAGCATCACCACATGATCGCCATGGCTGGGCAGGCCCCGCACTGCCTCGGCGTCTTCTGCTGCCCTGCCTTGGCCCATCGAGTCACGCGGGGGGTCCTCCTCGCTCAGGTACTCGGCCCCGGCATGGAGAGGCTGAGCCGGCTGCTCCTCCGGCCAGAAGTGACCACTTTCCTCTAAAACTAAAACACAAGGGTACAGGCATGTTTGACTTCAACATAAGTGAACCCCAAAGGATTACAGTTCTCCTTAAATATGAAAGTTTCCCCAATAGAAAAAAAGTAATTAGAGCCACCCCCATTCTCCAGGTTAGGAAGAGGGTCACAAGGGGGTACCAGATTAATGAATGCCAAGTCAATAAAGATAAACACAAAGCTTCACCAAATAATTCACGTTGTTGCAACATGGATTGTAACCAAAATCATTCCAGTATAGTCATCCAATTAGGAAAATATCAACATTTGGACATTTTCATTTGCTTGATAAGAACACCCAAGAAAACAATAATGGTTTTATGAAAGATTCTACAAGGGCAAAGCATCTTTGCACACATTATAACAGCTCTGTGAGACACACAAGGCAAGGGTTACCAAGCCCCTGAATAGATGACCATGCTGAACGCAGAAAAGCTCAGCATAGTGCATGATGGCCTAGTAAGCACCAGAGCCAGGTCTAGAGCAAAGTCTTCTGGTTGCTCCTTCAGATGGGCCTTACCCTCCCTGGCATGATACCCCAGGGAGGCTGAGCCACACTGCCCGAGGAACTTGCCTGAGCCACACAGCAGCTCCTTCCTGGGGTGGCCTCTGACAGCTGGGCTCTGCTTTCCTGCCTGCCACCCTTGGGTACTGCCTACGGGAATGCTAGGAGATAGCTCAGTGGTGCAGGGATGCAGGAGAGAGGAAGGGGAGGAGTACCTTCCTCCCATCCTGGATCCAGAAGGTGGGTCTTGGGCAAGATGCTCAGATAAGAGGTGAGTCCCAGGTGGTCTTGTCCATCTATCTGGCAATCTCCATTTATCTCTGTAGCAATGGCTCCTGCCCTCCAACTCTTATCAGCACAGAACCTGCTGCCAGATTGTGTGCCAGACTGTGTACCAAGGGAAACGAACGAGGCTAGTAGCCCTCAGGAAAGCTCACCATGTGTTTGGGAAACCACCAGATGTGCGATGAGCTCTGCTTGCCAAGAGCTTGTCACTGAAGTGTGAATGACCAGCTGCTTCAAAGTTGGGGAGAGGGGTGGGAGCTTCCTAACGTATGTGTGTTTGTACAAGGTCTCGATAAATATCCCTAGAGAGCGTTTTTAAATTGATGCATAAAGATGTACATAGTTTTGGGGTACATGTGATAATTTAATACAATCATATAATTTGTAAAGATCAAAGCAGTGTACTTAGGATATCCATCACCTTAAACATTTGTCTTTTACGCGAGAATCATTCAAATGCTTCTCTTCTAGCTATTTTGAAATATACAATAGATTATTGTAAACTCTATTACCCTACTGATCTATCTAACACTAAGCCCACAGAGCTTTGCGAGTTCATTCAGCAATTTAGAAACATTATCTATGAATTCTGCTTCTGGCCAAGATAGAGTAACAAGAACCAGATTTACCTTCCCTACTGAAACAACTAAAAAAAACAGACAAAATACATGACACAACAGTCTCAGGAAATTAGATATCAGGCACTGAAGGACAGTGGTCCCGAGAAACAGGAAACAAATGAGGAGAGCCCCACAGCTCCTGGCTTACGGTCTTGAGGCTGCTCCCATCACGGCTCAGGAATAGGAAACCCAGGCAGAGCCCAGCAGACTCTCTAAATTGAGGAGACAGAGTGCAGAGTCCAAGGGGACCAAGAAGGTATAGTTTGCAGCACAGAATACTATAGATGAAAGAGTTGTGTAAAGAGATGGCTCCCCCACCCCAAGTATACAGCAAAGTACAGGTCAGCACAGGCAAGTGAGGAAGCTACCCAAAGTCAGGGAAAGAATTACCAGAAGGATTAGAGGAAACAGTACCCAACACTCACACAGGACAGGGAATAGTGCCTGTTACCACCAACTGACTGGAAAATTTCATAATTCACAGGCACTGAGCAGAGTACACAAAAGAACCTGCCTCAGGAGTGGGGCTCAATTAACCCTAGAGGAAACACAGCTCTTCTTTGCTTAAAAGCTAACCTGAAAGGATCAAGCCATTTTCAAGTAATTTAACTGTACCCCAGAACAAAGCTCAAGAATATTTATAGATATACTATAGGAGCCTAGGAGTTCAAGACCAGGCTGGGCAACTTGGTGAGACCTTGTCTCTACAATAAACTAAAAAAAAAAAAAATTGCAGGGCATGATGGTGCATGCCTGTGGTTCCAGCTACTTGGAAGGCTGAGATGGAAGGATCGCCTGAGCCCAGTAGGCCAAGGCATGCCACTACACTCCAGCCTGGGTGACAGAGTGAGCCTCTGATTCAAGAAGAAAAAAAAAAATCCAGCACTCAACAAGGTAAAACCCATATCTGGCAACCCATCAAAAATTTTCAGACACATGAAGAAGCAGGAAAATATAATTCACAATGAGGAGAATCATCAATCAATCAACATGGACCCAGAACTTGCACAGATGGCAGAATTAGCAGACAAGGATATTAAAGCAGTATGTTCATATTACATATGTTCAAAAAGTTAAGTAGCTGGGCACAGTGGCTCATGCCTGTAATCCCAGCACTTTGGGAGGCAGAGGCGAGAGGACTACCTAAGCTTAGAGTTCTGAGACCAGCCTGGGCAATTTAGTGAGACCTCACCTGTACAATAAATCAAAATAATTAGCCGGGTGTGGTGGTGCATGCCTGTGGTTCCAGCTATTTGGAAGGCTGAGGCAGAAGGATCACCTGAGCCCAGCAGGTCAAGGCTGCGGTGGCCATGACAGAGTAAGACTCCAATTCAAAAAAAAAAAGTTAAGTACATACAGAGATGTAAGATGTAAAGAAAAGATGAAATCTTACTTCTAGCTGGGCTTGGTGGCTCAGCCTGTAATACCGTGCCTTTGGGAGGCTGAGGTGAGTGGATTGCCTGAGCCCGCGGATTCGAGACCCACCTGGGCAATTTGGCGAGACCTCATCTCTACAATAAATCAAAAAATTAGCCGGGCATGGTAGCGTGCACCTGTAGTTCCAGCTACTTGGAAGGCTGAGGCAAAAGGATTGCCGGGGCCCAGCAGGTCGAAGCTGCGGAGGCCACGAGCAGCCACTGCACTCCAGTCTGAGCGACTGAATGAGACTCCAATTCAAAAAAAAAAAAAAGAAAGAAATCTTACTTCTAAAGATGAAAACTACAAAAATTACAATGTCTGAGATGAAAACTGCATGGAATTAATGCCACATTAAACACTGTTGAAGAAAAGACTAGACAATTTGAAGGCAGAGCAATAGAACTTATCTAAAGTGAAACACAGAGGAGAGGACAGGAACAAGATGGTGACGGCATAGGTGGACTTGTGAGATTCTCTGAACTTTTCTTCCCCCATCCCCCAGCCCACCACCAGCCGCACTGGTCCGAGGACCTGGGATCTTCGGTCCCATGCAGGGCCGGATATTGCAACCCCCTGCTGCTGCTGTTCCACCGCGTGCGTGGGAGTCTCGGATCCCAGCTCCCTCCCTGGCTACATCGTCTCCTGCCCAGTACCCAGCACCAAGCCTCTGGTCACTCAGGGAGGCTCCAGGCGCCCACCCCTCAGAGACACCGGTCCCATTCCTGGCTGAAGTACCCTGTGGGGGGCCCAGGGCCACTCTCACCCACTCACTGCCTGCCCTTTGGAGCTTTGGAGCTCTGGAGTTCTGGGCCCACCCTGGCTGAGGCACTCGGCACGTGACCCCAAGCTGGGGGACCCAGACAAGCAGAGAGAAACGGATCTGCAAAAACTGCCTCGGCCATTCTCCAGGCAGAGACTTACATTGCCCCGCCCACCTATCAACAAACCCTACCTCAGTTCCTAAGGTAACGTCGCGAAACAGGAGACAAAGCCCCACCCCTACACTGAATCAGACAAAAGTAACGCCTACAAACCCAAACTGTGAGTAAATCTAGCTGCCTGCAATGAAAAACAAAGGGGAGAGGCCAGAGATCAGAGTTGAAGTGACTTTAGTCTGATCACTTATTTTGACTTATGATTTTATCATTTTTACTGTTTTTTTGATCACGTTTGTTGTTTGCCTTCTGACTTACACTGTTTCTTGATTTTACTGGTCTGTCTCTGTGTAGCTATCAGTATTCTTTAGGGAATCTTTCTTACGTGTCTTTTTTCACTTCTTTTCGGCCTTATGTCTCTTTCTCACCTGATAGTTGGTATGTATGTCTGTTTTCCCTCTCGCTCTTCTCTCTTTCCTACTGACCCCCCTTCCTCCATTATTTTCCTCTTTTATACCCCCCTTCTTAATCTAGGGACCAAGACTACATACTGCTGAATGGACAGATTGTAAGACAGAGGGAAATAGGTTCCAGTGTGCTCATACACCTGTTCGTGGATGCTAGAATCAGCATATACATGCTGAACCACAGCTTCCCTCTCAGTTAAACCTCAAAATTGCAAAAAGTACAGATTGCAGCCTACACTCCAACCTCAAAAGTGAACAAAGCCAGAAGATACTCATAAGGAAGAAGAGGATACTGCAGAAGAGAAAGAAAAGCAACCCCACCTTCCCTCAAAAACAGAATTAAAGAAGGGGAGGGAAAGGGAGAGAGAGAGAAAAATCTACAAAATGAAGAAAAACCAAAAGAAGAGTATGGGTCTCTGCCAGACCCCTGGGAGGGCAGACACTTAGAAAACTAACTTCAGAATGCAAACAATGAAGAGCCCCCAGAATGAAGGATCTCAAACTACAAACCTAGATATCAATACATTAATGAAGAGATTAAAAAGAATTGAGGAGACACAAGAAGAAACTAGGAAGGAGCTAATATCTGAGATAACAGTAATAAAGAATACTGTGAATGAAATAAATAACAAACTGATAAGCATGGAAAGCAGAATTACCCAAGCAGAAGAAAGAATCTCAGAGCTTGAGGACCAAAATACAGAACTAACCCAAACTCTTAAAAACACAGAAAATAAGCTCAAAAAGACAGAACAAAACCTTCAAGAGATGAGCAATTACTTCAAGAGACCGAACCTAAGAGTAATTGGCAT